GTATACACGGGTATACGATCGAATGTGCGATTCCAGAGGAGAGATAAACCGATCTTCTTAAAAAAGTTACAGAAGATAGAGACATAAGCATGTTTCGAATCGTAAACCATCGTTTCAATATGTTGCCGATCGTCTCAGTATCGTACGTAAACAAAACATCAAACATAAACAATGTGTCGTCTATCTCATATTTGAAAAATTTGTCTATCTCTTCTCAGGAATTACATTCGAGCTAAAATGCGTATGTAATCAACGTAGAATTAAATATTCTAAATAAAACAAAGATATGTAAAAAATAAATTTAATATAATATATAATAATGTAATAAATGAATATAAAATAAATAGGATTTTTTCGATAAATGCGAAAAAATCTCGTCGAACAATAGATTTCTCATTTCACAGACACCACGCAAGCAAGCGCGTACACGTATATACACATGTCATATACATAATCCGGCTATTCGCGTGTGTTTTGCGGTGAGAGGCGTAAAGAATACCGAAAATAATTGAGTTCGTCGACTCTACTTTCAGCTTGTTACACTTGCAGTTTGTAGAGCTGCGAGTTGCCGGTAGTTGTCGACCGAGAATTGCCGCATAAAAGCAACAGTGTCGCGGGGGCAAAAAAAAAGTAAGACGTGGCACCTTTATCACAAGGGGCGAGAGAGAATGCGAGGGGCGAGAGGAAGAAGAGAGAGTTCCGGCGGAGCCGGAATACCGAAAGTTTGTCACTTTGTCGACGAAGAAAAATACTTCCGTCAACGCCCGAGTACCGCTCCTTAGTACGCCCTACATTAATACTCTCGCGAATGTAATTAACTCTTTGCTTGCTGTTCATGTAACTCGATCTTCTTCCTCTCCGAAGAGCACTTGAAATGTCCCGCTTGTAATTTGATATCATTTTTAAAAATATTAATTATTTTGCCAATTTTCTCTACCTTCTAAAGGCAAAATATAATTATTTGTGTAACACCTCGTGATTTATATCTAGCTTGTATATTTGATTAAATTCCCGCGAGGGCACATCATTGAATATATTAATATATTGATGACAGATATTTTTTAAAGAGTAAATTGATATTCGATTAACTTGCAAAAGTTAATAAATTTACTAATAATTCTCAATTTTCTTATATAATTCAATTTTAAGTACTTGATATTTTATGCACATAAAAATTTACAACATATATTTGTAACAGTTTGTGGCACCTCGATTATATATGATTCCATACTTTTTTACGAGATGCGATTAGAGCAGGAAT